TTGGTAATCATACTTGACAAATCTGCGAGTATCTTGATTAGAGAGCTTTCAATTTAACGTTCAGACCAACATTTTCCAACAGAGATGTGATAGTACATGCGCCTGCCTCCCTTGCCTCCTGTAGGTCAGGGAAAGCAGTTGTTCACATAGTTCAGTGTATGTTACCCTAGTCAATAACAAATTTTATTAGACTGGTCTCATCCTGTTACCAAGGTGTTAATACAGATTAGTAACATTGTTACCATAGTGACTGATACAGATTAGTAAAATCATTTAACTATGGTGTTAGGTACAGATAAGTAGCATTCCATTGTATCAGGTACTGGCTAGTAACGCAGTGTTACCATGATGTTAAGTACAGACTAATAACATTTCGTTACCATGGTGTTAGGTACAGACTAACAACATCTCATTACTATGGTGTCAGGTGTAGAATTTTATGGTGTATATTGATGTGACAAGTACAAATTTCTAGTTGTGGAAATTTTATTAATTTGTTTGTAATTTTATATTTCCAAGTAGAAACAATATAATGTAACTTTACATTCATTGCAATGACTAAGATAACATGGTAACGATTAGAAATTTATCCACAATTAACAGAATTGTTAGGGAGGAGAAGTTTTTATTGATGAAATGCATAACAGGGAAATATAAATCAGAATAAATTTTTAGTCGGATTGTTTTTTTTTTTTAAAGTAAAAGATGAGCCAAGAATTCTTAAGGCTCCAGGAAGATAAAGGATGACCCCCTTATGTTTTATGTGTAGTTGACGGCGTCTGTCATGTATTGCACTGGTGCCCTGGATTTCTCCGGGGTTCTTGTGTACTTTATATCTCTTAATTGTATTCACTGAATGGCTTGTTTGAATGTTAATTTTTTCATTTCGATTAAGTGGTTTTTTAGTTCATATAAATTGTTCATTCCCTAACATTAGCTCAGGTAGTCCAACTTTGAATAAGTGACAGTGGGGCTTCCTCAAAAAGGTGCACTTCACCAAACACAGGTGTAACATGTTCAAGTTTACAAACAATATGCTGTACTTTCCTAACAATATTTTTCATTAAATCTAAACTTGAGAATAGACTTAGGAAGGCATTCATTTGATTATAAATGTCATTTGAGATACAAACACAGAAAAAAATGTATTCTAGAATAACATGACAAATTTCCTTTGAATAATGATAAATATAGATAGCAGGTATTTATCATATCAGTAGGAGCTGATTTGTCATGTTTAATGTGAACAAGTGACAAACTTGGGGCATTTCACTAGATATCTATTTCAGGGGGGTTACTTGTTTTACTGTTTTACTGGATTGGTATCTACAGATATCAGCATCCAGCATCCTGAAAGCTATAGACATCACTTACACGTTCTAGAAAAGACTTGTTAACTTCAAATAAAAATAAACAAAATCATTTTTATATAATGCCATCCATTTGTGAAATTGGAAACAAAAGAGAAATTTCACCTAGTATGCCTGTGAAGATAAATTGTAAAACAGCTTCAAAGAAAAATGAACTTTGAAAATTGCTTTCCAAAAGTCATTAATACTTATATATGTATACTAACTGTGCAGACAGATGTGCTTTGTTGTTGAGTTCTCTCATATGTGATCTTACAAGAGAATGTGCTGAAAGTCTGATATAACAAGGTAAAGAGTCTGATTGCTGTACTCTGAGGGTTGACCTTGCTAGTGTATCTGCACAATCAAGACATTAAAGCCTGAACAACTTCTGAACAGACTTTTAATGTTGCTCTCCTTTCAACCTCTAGTAGCTTTGCCTTGAATTGCCTACACGTAATGATGAATTAGATTTTTGTTACTTAACCTTCACTTGCCAGAATCATCTGTATACTTGATAGTTATGATATATGTTTTACTTTTATTGGAGGTTTGTTCTCTCTAGTTTTTTTTATAAAAATAGATCTTCATATTGTTTCTATGTCCTTCTAATTCTTCCACTGAATTTTACATTTGACCTACCTTAAGGGAAAACAGAAATTAGGAATGTCCTAAGTTCTAAATTAGCTGTACTACTTGTTATTTGAATAGCATATATATTTCTTATCATTCTGAGTATCTAGTGTATGCACCTGCTTTGTAAGGGGAAACTGGACAAAACAGTCTAAGAGAACATCTGTTTAGGCATGTGTTCTTTTTCGGTGATTACAGCCACCATTACAATTTGTAAACAAGAAATTATTTATCAGTTTCTTCCTAGTAATATATTTCGAGAGGGATACTAACCTGTACTTAATGATGTCAATATATCATGTGTGGGATACTATCCTGTATTTAATGGTATAAATGGGATGCTATTTTGTACTTAATGGTATAAGTATATCATGTGTGGGATACTTAATGGTATATATCATGTGTGGGATACTTAATGGTATTAATATATCATGTGTGGAATACTTAATGGTATAAATATATCATGTGTGGGATACTTACTGGTATGAATATATCATGTGCTGGATACTTAATGGTATAAATATATCATGTGTGGGATATTTAATGGTATAAATATATGTTTGGGATACTTAATGGTATAAATATATCATGTGTGGGATACTTAATGGTAAAAATATATCATGTGTGGGATATTTAATGGTATAAATATATCATAAGTGGGATACTTAATGGTAAAAATATATCATGTGTGGGATATTTAATGGTATAAATATATCATAAGTGGGATACTTAATGGTATAAATATATCATGTGTGGGATATTTAATGATATAAATATATCATGTGTGGGATACTTAATGGTATAAATATATCATGTGTGGGATACTTAATGGTAAAAATATATCATGTGTGGGATATTTAATGGTATAAATGTATCATAAGTGGGATACTTAATGGTATAAATATATCATGTGTGGGATATTTAATGGTATAAATATATGTTTGGGATACTTAATGGTATAAATATATCATGTGTGGGATACTTAATGGTATAAATATATCATGTGTGGGATATTTAATGGTATAAATATATGTTTGGGATACTTAATGGTATAAATATATCATGTGTGGGATACTTAATGGTAAAAATATATCATGTGTTGGATATTTAATGGTATAAATATATGTTTGGGATATTTAATGGTAAGACTCCTACTAGTTTAAAAGAGTCACTTAATTTACCTATCAAGGATTGCAGCTTTCAATAACAATTTTTTCTGTTAAATGTCTGTTTCATATAAATTACACAGTCATGACAATTGGACTTGTCGCACATCCAATAAGAAAGTCAAGAATTATCGTGTGATAAAATATGTCATGTAATATTCATTTTGCAACATGATACAATTTTTAGCAAACTCACATAAACACAGTTGCTTTACATGCAGAAATTTAAGACCAACTTTTGAAGATGTTGGTAATTTGATATTTTGTAGCAGGCAGTATGGAATTTTTTCTTGATTTTATGCATTTGCAAAATGCCTTTTGTTATGAAATGGATATGTCATCGGATCTGATCTTGTTGATACAACAGCCAAGACCATCCATGTTATCACAACGCTGTAGAGATCATTTTATATAACATGATTAATGGGAAATAAAGTCATACTGTTTCTTAATGCCTACTTCTACTCGCAGTTATATAGGTACTATCACCTTCTCACACTTACTGTTTTAACCATTAACTGACAAATTAATTAACTCATAATTTCAATACGCCCGTCGAAAATTTTGTTGAGGCATATTTTGGTATGACATTGTCCTTCTGTCTGTCATAAACTTACATTTGTCCACAAAATTCCTCCTACAGTTTTCAACTGATCTTTTTCAAACATGGTCGGCTAAATCATCATGACATGAAGTTTTCTGAATGGCAGTTTGATTCAGCTCAATTTGGAAGAATTTTTAGTGACTGACTCATGTTATCATGATTTTATCAGGTCTGGAGAACTCTGCTCGGAGTTTTCGACTGATTTTTTATTAAACTTGGTAGGCTTTTTAATTGTGTTTTCTAACACAACAGATTCATCAGTTTTTTAAGGAGCTGTTGCCTTTCATTTTCCACTTTTTACTATCCTACTTTTGTATATCTCGTACCTCAGTTTTTCACTCATTCCTCTCAGACTTGCTGAGCTTTATTACAATCACATGATATTATGTTTTCCTTATTGACAGTTTCAGTTTTTTGGAAGAGTTATTACCCTTTTTTTAAACGTTGTCCGTGTATATCGCCTTCCTCAGTTTTCAGCCAACTTCTTTGTAACTACTTTTCTTTCTTGACGTGAACCATTATTACTGTCTCCATATTTTGTATTCTTTTAAATACAATAAATCATGGATATTTCTTAAACAAGGTTACAGGCATATGTTATGCCGCATGAGTACTCTCGTTGAACACTATATCAAAAGGGATCCTCCTTGTAGATTTAAACCAGAGATCTAAGGGAACTTTATTTCATAAGCAAACAGAATCTTTATCTCACAGTTTTAATCACATGGTAACAAAATCTACTTTTCAAAGTATAAAGATGGGACATAATAGCTTAGTCAGTAGACCATAACTTTGGGTAAAGATCCACCGTGCCCGCTGGGAAGGTTATTGTTTCTCATGAAGCTGTAATCACAGACAGTCATGTGTTGTTTTGGTTGTGAATGTCCTTTTTTTTCCTCTCAAGGTTTTAACCATGCTTATACAAAAATAGATTCAGTGTACTAACCAAGGTTTCCTGAAAACAAAGAGAGCACGTAGATTTCTCTGTATGTAATATGTTAGGATACGTGTATATTTAATATTTGTATTGCAGCAGTCATGTATTGTAGTATGTGAAAATACAAGTACCTGTTATAATACAGATCAAACTTAACATCACTTATTTCCAATAACATCATTTCATCAATAAAAGGTATATATGTTTTGTATTGTAGAAATTCCATGGTCCAATCATGCATCATTGCATGGATAGAAATGCAACAAGTGTATGAGTAGTAAGTGTAGGCCTGTTGGGAGATCACATGTATTGTGCAGGAGCAGGTCACACCAGCTAGAGACAGTGTTAGGTAAACAGTGTGTGTCACTCTCCTACAGCAACACTGTTGTACCCTCAAATCACATACGATGATCACCTGTACATCAGTCCAGGCTTATCTCAAATCATGAATGGTTGTTGTATAAAACTTTGGATAATTCTCAGTAATTTGGACAGTGAAAGGAACTTTGATTGCGCAGGTAAGCTTTACTTACACAGGGTTACATACTTCTGATTTGGTTAGGGGCCACCCAGCACTGTGTCTTCATAGAAACAGCACATCTATTATTGATGTAAATACAGCATTTGTTCCCTCTTTAAGCTGTAATTTGAAAACAAAGAAATAAATATATATGTAATTCTTGAAGTGCGAGTGTTTAGATGTTTAAATAAGATGAAATGTGATTTAATTTTCACAATGTGCACAAAGAAAATACCAGGTGTATGTTTTGTGTAGAAGCTAAGAAGATGGTTGTTTAAAGGAAAGTTTAAGTCAATTCTTTTCATTTAAATTGAATTATTATTGTCTGTTTATATTGATCTAGATGCTGTGCCTTAGAAGGCATGGTGAGCCCAGTAAGGCTTGACACAGGAATGTACTAAATATAGTTCCATGTAAATGTGTAATACACACACACCCTCACACACACAAACACGGCTAAATGTACTGTATTGTTGTACTATAGCGGAAGTGTGTACACCATTGTGTCCATTGGGAGACTTGTTTATACCTCAATAACAGGGAATTATACAAGACAATGTATCTATAACACAGGGGTTGACACTTCAGGTGAGAGAAAACCGTATAACACCCCAGAACATATAATCACTCAAACTTGTGGTGTCCTCAATCTTACGTCTTTTTAGAAGTAGACATTTTTTTAGGTGATATACTACAGACACACAAGCTGTATTACCAACATGACATGTATTTTATGAACTGGAAACAAAATTCAAAGTGACATAGGAATGAAATTCCTGTGATGTGAGAAAATGCTGTATTAGATCAGAGCATATCACCTGTACCACCACAGGAAGTAACGCATGGGAGTAATAAGATTATAGATACCAGGTAAGATTTGTTCTCTCTAATTCCAACTTGTTTGAGCACATGTGGTCTTCCATGTGTGTGTGATCCCCAGCTGTAATCTGCCGGGTATAATAAACAGACCTGTGTCTTAACAGTAACAGTAGAGATATGGTTTTTAAAACACAACTGTATTTAAGAAGCTTTAATTTAATCATCAACAGTAATGACAGTTTCTCCCTGTGTTAAACGAGGAAAAAATCAGAAATTTCTGAGTTCTGCATGAAGGTGCATAAAAGCTGTAACTATCATTATTTTGCAGAAAAAAACAATGAGACAGGTTTAAACGGTTAACAAATTAGGTTACCCTCGTTGAATTATGAAATGTCATTTGTGATAGACGCCCCCTATAGGAATTCATAGAGAAAATCCTCAACATGATCATAAAGTGAGGGAGGATAATCTGTTGCAATTATATATTGTAATAACTTGATGACAGCGATGTGTTTTTACGGTACGTATTGGTCTATAAGCCCATGCCTGGTAATAAGCCCACATGTATTTGACTGCTCTGTAGATTTATAACCTAGGGTTACATCATTTCCCTGATTTCATTTCTTGTAATAAGCCAGTTCCCAGTCCAATGATAATAAGTAATATGTTGTCCCCTTTTAGGCTCATACTTATCGTAACATTCCATAGACTTCGGAACATTTTCTTCAGGTTGGTCATATCATAGAAGCTCTTTTAACACACCCAGTAGAAGATTGGAATGTGATGTTTCGATGACTACACGGTCACATTCATCAGTACATTGTTACCATCTTGTGTATTTTTTGGTCTATAATCTGTTTACATCCTGTCTTACTGATTTCAATCTTAGTGTACATAGGATCATAGTTGGTTGATTCTGTAACCATCTTATACACTATGTACGTCAGTGCTAGTACGCTTCACGCTGGTCATTTGTCTGATGAATATGACCATTTAGCTACTGACACATCACACTCAAATTTTTCTACTGAATGTGTGATGAGAAATCAAAAATTGTTTTCATTTTCAAAAAAGTAGAGAAAATATAGCAAGTTATCCGTTATATATACTTTTGTGTGTGGATCGAATTAGTTGCTCTCATCTTCTAGATAAAGTCTTGTACTAATATGATAAACAGTTATTAATAATGCATAATAAAGATATGCACAAAATATGAATGATGAATATGTAATTCAAAGTAATCTAGGATGATGAAATCATGGTCTACTTGAGGATATAGCAATTTTAGAAGAATTAGAAAATAGCGTTATACATATATCTTTGTCTCCTCCATTTAGAGACAAGTAAGTGTGATTAAATTTCTTAGAGCTGTCGTTACGATCATCAATCTTCTCCAAACAGAGTTTGCCTTCGTTTTTATTTTAGCCGATTCACCCTTTTTCCTATTAGAATGAAAACAAAAATAAAGGATCTGTAAATGCTGGAGATTACAGCTGAATGGTGTGTCAGTAGGTATATATATATATTTATATATATAAAACAAGGCATGACAATGAGGTGAAAAAAAAAATTGGACCAATTTTTTCCAAGTTACGCAACAGTTATGAATACCATGGTGTGTTTAGCTCCCAGTTTAATAGAATGCCCTGTTTTAATGGTAATGAATATACAGTGTACACTTTTATAGTGTGAATTCTCTTGAATAATGTATACATGTTCATTTTACAAGGAAAACGTGCAATGGCAGAAATGTGTGATTAAATTGGAACTTGTGTGACTCCTCGTATGTGATGGATATATAGTCAATTAAGATTGAACTGTGTCAACCTTACAGTGTGATGTTTGTGCACGTAGTACTTACTATTTAAGGAATATACAGGTAGAAGATGTATTACTTTTCACATACTTTACCTATAAAGTATATAGACATATATACTACTTTTAATATGGTCTATTTATAGAAGATATATACATATGTTACCTCTCATATATCATGTCAATCTAATGTTTCAATCACAGTCAACCAGGAAAAGTATTGAGATATGTTTATAAAAAGGACAATGATATAGCTAATGGTAGTATTTCTACTGTATACATAATGAGAGTGGGTGGGCTTATTACAGGACCATGATATAGCTAATGGTAGTATTTCTACTGTATACATAATGAGAGTGGGTGGGCTTATTACAGGACCATGATATAGCTAATGGTAGTATTTCTACTGAAACTTTATGCAGTAACAGTGTTGCTTAATGTCAAAGATGATTCATACCTAATATATTTTTGATGTTTTTTACAAACGAGTTGTTCTGTAATCCTAAAGGTTGCGGAAGTTAACTGGAATCCCTGTTGACAATCTCCAGGGTCAGGCAGGTGTTCTCATTACACCTCTCCATGTCTGGATGTCAAACCCATTTATGTGTAACTTTCTAGTCTGTGTCTTGAACTTGATACTAAGGTTTAAGGAATATTGTAATGAACTCAACTGCATTATTAATCAGAGATGCTATGGTCATCCTGAAGGCCATTGCATTTTATTGTTTGGAAGGGTTTCACTGTAGTCTGAGACCGGACATCTGTGTTTGTGAGACCCAGTCATTTGCTGATAACGAAGTAATAATCCATATATATTTAATTGGGATCTGTAATGAGTAGTAGCCAGTATGTTTTGAGATCCATACCTCAATTAGATGTTATTTCAGGAAAAAATTGGTAATAATGTGTACTTTTCAATGATGGATATAATAGAGAGGCAAATTGTATTGACTAACCACAATTTATAACCTAATTCTGTACACCTACTGCTGTTGTGTTTACATTGTGTCAATACCAGACCAATAATACAATGGACCAATTACCTGCCTGTAAATATTTGTTTGTTGATAATGACACAAGATCATTTATGTCCAAATCCCCACAGTGCAATTAGTGCAAGTGTACAGGTAAGATAATTCCTGGTATATGATATCAGATCTATCCGACATTAAGCTCATGTCTGGTAATAAGCCCACCTTATATTTTGATGTTCAGATAATATTTGAATGTCCTGTAGTGATTAAGGTCACTCTCTTTGTCACTTTGAGTAAAGAGAAGTTTTGAGAAATTTACAGAATTTTTAGAAACAGAAACTTGTTCTAAAGATACAATAACTTTGTACAGTAATAGTCAATACAACAATCATGTAAATATCATTGAAATATCTTTCAAATTTGTGTTAGCCACCTCAACAGCCAAAATACTCCTGTAATGTTATATAGACAACAAGCGTTCACCTGGCTGAATTTACGGTATTATAAAAGATATGGTAAAAGTTGATAATGCTGAATTATCTTACATGATATAGTTGGTAGCCAGATTTGTTTAGATTTGGTGACTGGGGCAAGTCCCAGCATGAACAGATCTGAACACTCAGGATATGTAAGCATTAGGAGATTTAGAAGCTTGCTTGAAGCTAAAGAACTTTGGTTGTGATTTTTTTTCTCGGGTCAAAGATTGGAAACCAGCAAAACTTGAGAGTAAATTTTACCATATTAAGCGAATGTTCCTTTAGCACCAAGGGGTAGTCAGGAATGTAATGAGAGGACATTACTCTTCTCTATCACATAAATCAAACGAGCACAGTAGCAGGAGGGAGCAATCATTTAGTGTTACATAGTAACAAGGTTGGGGTACCTGTATGTTTATTTCATTTGAGCTTGAATCAGTTCACACTTTATCCCTTCATTCTTGGCGTGTGAGTATGAAATAGAATGTTCCTGGGAAAAGTTTTCTCCTTAACAGGCATAAAATTTAGGTATACCTACATTTCAGGTATAAAGTTCAGGTTTGTTAGAGAAAGAGGTAATAACTCATTGAAGTTGGGTGTATTGTGGAAATGGGTAAGAAGCTGTGACAGTGAAACTGTTAAGACATTGATGAGTGATGGAGGAAATCAGTAGGAAGTTCAGATGTTCTGGGGAAACAGGTAAAAAATCCACACATGTCATTGAAACAGGTTAACAGCTAAAGTGTGTTGGGGAAACAGGTAAGAAATTCAGGTGTGTTAGATGAACAGGTTAACAGTTCAGGTGTTTTAAGGTAACAAGGTAAAAAAATTCAGGTGTGTTAGATAAACAGGTTAATAGTTAGATCTTTTAAGGTAACCAGGTAAAATAATTCAGGTGTGTTAGATAAACAGGT